GTAGAGACGGGGTTTCACCATGTTGACCAGGATGGTCTCGATCTCTTGACCTCGTGATCCACCCGCCTCGGCCTCCCAAAGTGCTGGGATTACAGGCTTGAGCCACTGCGCCCGGCTAAAACTCAGTTTCAAAAAGAAAGAAAACTCGTGGGATTATCTCCTTGTTTCCAAAAAGTGTTCCTTCCTTCCCTATTTTTAAGCTTTTCAGTTTACTGGGCTTGTGTCCCGTGACACCTACAGAGTGGTGAAGGTAGCAACACTGTGGAACTTTTTCTTCTTGCTCCAGATGTAAGGGTGGGAGTGTTTCTAGTGTTTCGTTATTATTAACAATGCTGGGATTTTTTGTTTTGTTTTTTTTGAAGAGGAGTTTTACTCTTGTTGCCCAGGCTGGAGTGCAGTGGCATGACCCTGGCTCACTGCAACGTCCGCCTCTTGGGTTCAATCGCTTCTCCCACCCCAGCCTCCCAAGTGGCTGGGATTACAGGCGGGCACCACCATGCCTGGCTAATTTTGTATTTTTAGTAGAGACAGGGTTTCTCCATGTTGGTCAGGCTGGTCTCGAACTCCCGACCGCAGGTGATCTGCCTCCCTTGGCCTCCCAAAGTGCTGGGAGTACAGGCATGAGCTGTGGCACCTGGCCCTGGTTTTTTTTTGAGATGGAGTTTCGCTCTTGTCACCCAGCTGGAGTAGTGATGTGATCTCAGCTCACTGCAGCCTCTGCCTCCTGGATTCAGGCAATTCTCCTGCCATGGCCTCCCACGTAGCTGGGATTACAAGTGCCTGCCATGCCTGGCTAATTTTTTTATTTTTAGGAGAGATGGAGCTTCACCAGGTTGGTCTCGAACTCCTGACCTCAGGTGATCCGCCCACCTCGGCCTCCCAAAGCACTGGGATTACAGGCGCGAGCCACCGCACCCAGCCATGCTTCATTTCAGTTCACCTACGCCCCACACTCTCTTCCGAAGCCCCGTTAACGATCCTGCCCTTCCTTTTTTGAGCCACGCCTTGGGTTTCCTGGCATGTCCGTGGGCTGTGAGGGTCCTGGGGCTGACTGGGCCACTGTGTGTTACGTTAACTTCTGTCCCCTGAGCTGGGCCATGTACCTCCCTCGAGACCCTGGGCAAGCTACAGACACCTGGAAGCCTCCACGGCTTCATCTGTGGAGAGGGAGTGATTACCAGCACAGGCCTGGGTGCAGCTGGTGTCCTGGGAACCCCCACTCCCATGCTCCCGTCCGAGCAGGCCAGGATCCCCAGCCCTGGTCTTGTGTCCCCTTCCAGAATGCGGGGCCAGGCCTGCGATGGAGAAGCCCCCCCGGATCGTGGGCGGGTTTGCAGCGGACTCCGGGGAGGTGCCCTGGCAGGTCAGCCTGAAGGAAGGGGCCCGGCACTTCTGTGGAGCAACGGTGGTGGGCGACCGCTGGCTGCTGTCTGCCGCACACTGCTTCAACCAGTAAGGCCCGCCTCCTCCAGGGAGGCTGCCTGGCTTCCCCTCCCTGTCAGAAACCATCCTGCCGGGGCTGCCGCATGGACCGGGGCAGCTGGGAGACAGGAGAGGGCCGGTGCAATGCTTCAGAGGAGAAACAGGGCCTGCCCAGGGGAGGGAGGAGGGCACCTTCCCTGCTGCTTGCTACCCAGGCCACATTTATCTTGGAGATTTCCAGGCGTGGCGGCCAGCACCTGTGGTCCCAGCTACTAAGGTGGCTGAGGTGGGAGAATTGCTTGAGCCCAGGAGGTGGAGGCTGCAGGGAGCCGGATCGTGCCGCTGCACTCCACAGGGCGACAGAGCGAGACCCTGGCTCAACCACAAAGAGACAGACTCCTAAGCCGTAGGGACTGGGGGGCGGCTCTGGCGCAGGGTTAGAAAATGAAGCCTGAGGCTCCCCTAACCTGCCCAAGGTCCCCCAAATCGGGATCCTTTTCAGGAGGAGCCTGGCAGCCCCTCTTCCCCTGGTCCTCCTCCCTGGAGTCGAGGGCTGGAGGAATGGTCCTGGGGCCCAGGCAGCCCTGTGTGGCTTCCCAGGGTTCGGGGGGTGGCTGCCCCACGGGGCTTCTTGGGGGTCCATCAGCCCTGGCCCTCCCCAAGAAGGTGGGTGTGATCCGGACGGTGGGCACGCCTGAGCGCCCTGTCTCCACAGCACGAAGGTGGAGCAGGTCCGGGCCCACCTGGGCACTGCGTCCCTCCTGGGGCTGGGCGGAAGCCCGGCGAAGGTCGGGCTGCGGCGGGTGGTGCTGCACCCCCTCTACAACCCTGGCATCCTGGACTTCGACCTGGCCGTCCTGGAGCTGGCCAGCCCCCTGGCCTTCAACAAGTACATCCAGCCTGTCTGCCTGCCCCTGGCCATCCAGAAGTTCCCCGTGGGCCGGAAGTGCATGATCTCCGGATGGGGAAATACACAGGAAGGAAACGGTGAGCCCTGCCCCACTGAGGGGAATGGCGGGTTCATTCTCCAGGACCCTAAACCAATTCCACCGCACAGGGACCTCTGTGCCTCGTCCCTTTGTCTCTGGTCCCAATGCCCACACACCACTCACCTCTCCATTGCGTCTCAGGGGAAAATCTGGCCGTTGCCCCTTTCTAAAGTTTCATTGGAAAAAGGGCCACGTTCACATACCAACAGATTGTCTATGGCTGCTGCCCCGCAATAGCAGCAGAGTTAAAAAACGGTGACAGAGACTGGCCTTTAAAGCCGAAAACATTTAATTCTCTGGCCCTTCATAGAAAATGTTTACTGGAGGCCAGGCGCCGTAGCTCATGCCTGTAATCCCAGCACTTTGTAAGGCCAAGGCGGGCAGACTGCCTGAGCTCAGGAGTTTGAGACCAGCCTGGGCAACACAGTGAAACCCCGACTGTGCTAAACGTACAAAAATCAGCCAGGCGTGGTGGCGCATGCCTGTAGTTCCAGCTACTCAGGAGACTGAGG